TTGAAGAGATTTGGGGATTGGAAGGGTGCGATATGATTGGGACTAAGAGGGCCACTAAATTCCCATAAACCCTCGCAGCCGCCTTTTGTCTAATAATGATTGGATTATTATTTTGACGTCTTGTAGGCATCAGTTAAAACTTAATCATTAGATGGGAAATGGAAATGAATAAGAAGAGAAAGGTGGGTTAGTTTACTCATCTTTACTTGACAGTAGCTCCTTAAAGTAGTTACTATTTCAAATCTTTGTATTACTGAGGTTTTTCTTTTCTATTTTAATATTGTACTTTAAAAAGATTTACGGTATTCTTTGTCATCATTTTATATATATTCAGTGGGCAAAGTGTTTTGTTTTGTTTTTCCTCCAGAGGAATACATTCCCAATCTGATATGGAGGAAGGAATGCTTTACTTGTGGAAATTTTACCAAAACCGCTCTGTTAAGGGTTGGAGATCCATGCCCACACGTACCCACAGACACCCACAGGTACACATCTACACGGACACAATTTATTTCTTGTGTGACTGTTATCCCGGGTCCCTCTAGATGAAGCATGGATGCACACATTGGTGAAATATTTGCCTGGAGGGGCACGACAAGCTAGTGGCCTTCACAGGTTCTTGGTTCTTGTGTTTCCAGAGACAGTATGTGGATTAGGTTGAAATAAATAAAAGCCTTAGTATTAACTATTAATATATATGTAGTGTATATAGACCAAAAAAATGTATTTCTGTAAGCAGGAAGACATGGTGGGAAGTAGTCATTATAATACTATTACGTTCTTGTGCTGTTTCTGTCTCTGTAGTCATGACCTACCTCTCCAGTTTTAGTTTGTTCTGAACTGTATATATATTCAGGGTAGATTCCGCCAAAAACGTAAATTGTGAGAAGGAAACTCTTGGGATGGCACTGGATGGTAATGTGTTAAGTGACCCTCCGCCCGTGGACACTTAGAATGAAGGATGGAAAGAACCCCGAACCCTGAGTCGGGGGCCTGGGCTTAGCGAGGCTGTCTTACCCGGGGCCTCTGTTTGTGAACTGCGAATATGGGCTTGATCTCTAGGGTTCCCTTCAGCATTGGGATTGTATGCTTCTCTAGGGCTGTGGTGTTTCGTCAGGCCCCAAGGCTCCTTGCCTCCCCAAGGAGCTGCCTTATCCTTTTTTCCAAGGAGATAGCATGCATTAGCCCATGGAGCCCTATAAAGCAGGGAGCTGTTAGTTCCGTGAGGTGCTTATTCACTGGGGACGGAACCTAGGTTGTTTGTAGTAACCAGAAGGACCTTGGGCTGAGGCCAGGACATGTAATTTCTGTGACCATCTAGTTGTCTACACAAACAGCTTTCTAGGTCCTATCCAAGGCCAGCGACATTCTGTCTTTGGAGAAGGAGAATATAGAAATAGATCTCTTCCTAAGGAGATAGATTTAAGGACTTGGAATTTAAGGACTCCCATTATCTTCTTAGAGCAATTACCAAGAAAATACTCGCTGAATGTAATTTTATAAATGTTATCAAGGAATGCCTTCATATCTTAATAGGCTTTGTAGAAATTAACACAGTTCGCATTTGCTGATTCTTTGCTCTCTCCCTGATACTAGTTATATTTTTGTTATGTGCTATGAAAAATTGATACTATCTACAGGCATCTTTTGACCTAGGTAAGCTCTATTTTCTGGGTGAGCTAGGAACTAGTATCACCAGAGGAAAAGCTAATCTGCGTGATTATTTCTTCTGTCATCCCATTCGTATACATTATTCATTCATTCATTTATCATTTTTTTTTTAAAGATTTTATTTATTTATTCATGAGAGACACAGAGAGAGAGAGGCAGAGGGAGAAGCAGGCTCCCAAGGAGCAGGGAACCCGATGCGGGACTCGATCCCAGGACTCTGGGATCATGACCTGAGCCAAAGGCAGATGCTTAACCATCTGAGCCACCCAGGCGCCCTATCATTATTTTTTTAAAGTAGGCTCCCTGCCCGGTGTGGGGCTTGAACTCATGACCCTGAGATTGAGAGTTGCAGTGCTCTGCTGACTGAGCCAACCAGGCACCCCATATACACTTTTTTTTTTTTTTTAAGATTTTAGTTATTTGACAGAGGGACATAGAGAGGGAACACAAGCAGAGGGAGTGGGAGAGGGAGAAGCAGGCTTTCCTCTTGAGTAGGGAACCTGATGCAGGGCTCAATCCCAGGATCCTGGGATCATGACCTGATCTGAAGGCAGATGCTTAACGACTGAGCCACCCAGGTGCCCCCCCCCCATATACACTGTTAAACATTTGGTTTGATCCTAGCCTTAACACTAGAAGATTCTTTATAATGATGGAAATCATGACACACCGCTGATGATGGGTAGACGCCTCTGGTCTTCCCCAGGTCCTGACTGGCACTGTCACTGCTGTGTAGGATTGAGGTTGTTGATAGCAACAGTGGGCTCTGGGGAATGACTAAGAACTGTGAGGGGGTTGCAGATAAGCTGTGTTTCCGTGGATAGCCCTCTTGGGAACTGAGCACTTGCCTGATGTTAATGACCTTATACTGCAGCCTAATTACTAAGGATAGAAATATTTTCAATAGGGGCTCCTGGGTGGCTCAGTCGTTAAGCATCTGCCTTCGGCTCGGGTCATGATCCCAGGGTCCTGGGTTCGAGCCCCGCATTGGGCTCCCTGCCCGGCGGGAAGCCTGCTTCTCCCTCTTCCACTCCCCCTGCTTGTGTTCCCTCTCTCTCTGTGTCTCTCTCTGTCAAATAAATAAAAGCTTAAAAAGAAAAAAGTTTTCAATAAATATTTGTTGAGTACCTGTCCTCCTAAGCTTTCATACTTCTACTAGAACACTGCAGGTAGATATCCAACAGGAACATAACTCAAACCAGTATCATTATCTTTATCTCAGAATCTCCCTTTCTCTTCCTTCATAAGTGGTTTTAAAATTAACCAGGTACGGGCACCTGGGTGGCTCAGTCTTAAGCGTCTGCCTTTGGCTCAGGTCATGATCCCAGGCTACTGGGATCTAGCCCGGCGTCCGGCTCCCTACTCAGCAGAGAACCTGTTTCTCCCTCTCCCGCTGCCTGCCCACCCCCCCAATCATGCTCGCTCTCTCTCTCAAATAAATAAAATCTTTTTTTAAAAAAAGTATTTAAGTAAAGTGCTAAGAGAGACCACTAAGAAAGGCCTGTCTAACTCTACCTCATAGGAGACGGGGAAGATATTATTAAAAGGGTAAAAGAACTATTGAAGAAAATTCTCTTGGCAGAAAAGTTGAAAGAAAAAGGGAGCCCAATGCGGCACTCGATTCCGGGACTCCAGGATCATGACCTGAGCCGAAGGCAGTCACTTAACCGACTGAGCCACCCAGGCGCCCTCAGCAGTCCTCTTAACTGAAATTTGTGTTTCTGACCTCTGTCTTCCTTTCCTTCATCTCCCATCAAGTTATCTTTAAAAAAAAAAAAAGGACTCTCCTGATTAACAACCTTTTATTTGCTGTTGTTCTGCAATTTGCTTTTTTTTTTTTTTTTTTACAATCAACACTATGTTCTGGAAATTTTTCTATGTAGTTCATTTAGATCTATCTTTTTTTAAATGCTGCATAGTGTGACTACATAAAGTGTGTGTATTATAGATTATTTAACCGTTCGTCCTTGAATGGACATTTGTGATATTTGTATTTCACTGTTAAAAAGAAGACTGAAATGAATATCCTTGAACCTCTTCGTACACATTGAAAAGCATGTAGATACCAAAAAGTGGAATATCTGGGTCAAAATGTACGTTTAAAACGTCAGTAGACACTGACAAATTGCTTTACAAAGAGTGCCTTTCAAATTATATTCCCACTCTCCATGGTCTTTTTTTTTTTTTTAAAGATTTTATTTATCTGAGAGAGAGAATGAGAGAGAGAGAGAGAGCACATGAGAGGAGGGAGGGTCAGAGGGAGAAGCAGACTCCCCGCCGAGCAGGGAGCCCGATGTGGGACCTGATCCTGGAACTCCAGGATCATGACCTGAGCCAAAGGCAGTCGCCCAACCAACTGAGCCACCCAGGCGCCCTCTCCATGGTCTTTTTTAAGACCATTTTTAATCTGGACCTAGTGCACTTCTGCCAGCCTCCATTCTCTGACTGATGTGTTCACGCACACGCTCGGTCGCCACTACCGTCCGGGTGTTCATGGAGCGCGCACGGTGTGCTGGGGGTCTAGCACATAGCTCCCTGTCGCCATCTCTGCTCTCACTACACAGAACTTTTTTGCCATTCCTAGACTTTTCTTATGCATTTACAGCTCTTCTTCTCTCTTCCCGGTTATGGCTTTTTTTTCTTTTTTCTCTTCTAGTCTGCTGGGGTTGGTGGTGACACCACTCACCTGCTCTCTCAGACTTAAACTTGAACATTTGGAATTATTCTTCCCACTCTATACTTCCTATATCTATGAAGTTAGCAAACCCTGTTTGTGCCACCTCCAAAAAGGTTTTTTTTTTAATTTTATTTTATTATGTTATGTTAGTCACCGTACGTTACATCATTAGTTTTTGATGTAGTGTTCCGTGATTCATTGTTTGTGTATAACACCCAGTGCTCCATGCAATATGTGCCCTCCTTAATACCCATCACCAGGCTAACCCATCCCCCCTCCCCTCTAGAACCCTGTCTGTTTTTCAGAATCCATAGTATCTCATGGTTCGTCTCCCCCTCCGATTCCGCCCCTTCTTTTTTCCCCTACTTTTTTTTTTAACATATAATATATTATTTGTTTCAGAGGTACAGGTCTGTGATTCAACAGTCTTAACACAATTCACAGCACTCACCATAGCACATACCCTCCCCAATGTCCATCACCCCCCCATCCTTCCCACCCCACCCCCCTACACACACCTTTCCCATTAGATTGTAAGCTCAGTGAGGGCAAAAACTTGTGGTGTTTACCTTAGGGCTCTCCCAGCTTTATGCCTTAACCACTGGGGATGCTTAGTAAACACTGAATAAGTGAGTGAGGAACAAACTATCAGATGAACCTGTTTTGTACCGCCACCGTGAGGGCTTGCAGCGATGACTCAGATCTGATCAGCTTTCAAGGACTCAAGCATGGAGTGAGGGAGGTAAAAACAGATGAGTAGGCTGAGTGCAGGCCACCTGCTGCTAGGCTCAGTGGGGAGGCACAAGGGGAGACTTGAGGAGAGTTTAATGGGAGAGATTCATTCTCATGAGTGGGGTAGTCTGGTAGATGATCAGGGGAGAGGACTTTTTTCTTGCTTGTGCCGGCTATTGTGAGGGATACACATAGTGATAAGATATGGTCTCCGGCTCTAGGTGTTTGTTAGTCAAGCTGTGCGTAAGAACAGAGATTGGCAGACTGTGGCCCATGGGCCACCTCTGGCCTGCTGCCTGTTTCTGTACAGCCTATGAGCTAAGCATGTTATTTTAACATTGTTAAAATTGTTTTCATAAAAAGAATATTTTGTGATATGGGAAATTCTGTGCAATATAGATTTGAGCATCTATAATTAACTTGTTAGAACATGGCCACGGTCATTGGTTTCCCACTGTCTGGGGCAGCGGTTGTGCTACAGAAGCAGAGTTGATCCTTGTAACAGAGACCAGCTGGTCTGTGATGCCTGAGACATTTCCTCTCGGGACTGTTACAGAAACAATCTGCTGACCCCTGGGTTAGAGGATGGGAAAGATTCAAATAGAGTAGAGAAGGAGGGTAAGAGTTAAGAGAGTAGGTTGATGAATACTGTACTCACAGCAAAGCTTTAGGGCTGAAATGATGATCCAGCTGAACCTTCTATTTTATAGACTGGGCAGAAGATCAAAAACCTTGTCAAAGTCCACCTGACTCTAAGGGGCAGTGTACCACTGGAGCAGAAGCTTTGAGGACTGTGGAGGAAGATAAGATTATTGCTGGGGTGGGGCCAGATCATGAGTGGCCTTGCCCTTGAAAAATGAGAGCTGAGGAACAAACGAAGAACAGACTTTTCTCTCTCTGAATGTCATGTTTCTCTTTTTCTCTTGTATTTCTAGAAGGCTTTTGAGCCCTACCTTGAGATTTTGGAAGTATATTGCACAAAGGCCAAGAATTATGTAAATGGACATTGCACCAAGTATGAGCCCTGGCAGCTCATTGCCTGGAGTGTCCTGTGCACCCTGCTGATAGTCTGGGCATATGATTTTGTCTTCCAGCCAGAGAGTAAGTATACTGCCCCCTCTCCTCTGGAAAGGTACAGTGGAATCTCACCAGCTTTAGAACTCATGGCTGATGGATTGGACTAATTGCTTGCCTTCTGGTTTGGTTCTGATTTTTAAAATCTATTTAAATGGGAAGTGGGACATTGTCTTCTGACCATAAAGTTATAGTAGGACTCTATACGTAAAGTTATAATAGCTACTCTAATGTTATCTATTACTGCTTTTGTTGATTTTTCTGGAGTTGCAGCTTGCCTAAAAACTCCTGAGAAATTAGGCATTGTAAGGATCCACAGGTATCTCAGAGCATGGCTTAAATCTTTCTCAGGTTTAGTGTCTTGCCTAGGACATAAATGTATACCCTGGAGTTCCCCAAGCAGGAATTTATTGAGTTCATTTTAGGCCATCTTTTCAATACAGATTATGTGAAATTGGAACAGCACTCATGCAGGGACCCTGTGAGTATGTGCTGTGTGCCAGGCACTGTGCTGGGCTCTGGGGATGTCTACAGAAGTCATAGAGGGTCCCTGTCCTCCTGGAGTTAAACTTCTGATGTCAGGGGACAGCGCACTATGAACTTCCTGGGTAGTGACTCAGGGAGCCAAACTGACGTGGGGAAGAGGAGGCCACTTCTCAGGGAGTGCAGAAGAAGGTGAGAAGTCTATTAGTGGGGAGTCTGTAAGTCCTCCATCCTTCCAAAGGTCCTGGGCACCCTTCCTCCCCTGCCAGACCTGCTTACCTGTTCCCTCCTTGTGAATTGTTTCCCCTGCAGGTTGTGCTTCGTAAGTAAAGTAGGAGTGGTGGTGGGTGTTTGATAACTCTCCTCTGCACCCCTTCCCCACCCTTAGTATAGGGTACCAAAGTTAACTTCTGGGGATAAAAAACATTAATGTGGAAGAGAATCACTTGTCATGTCTCATTTGTTCTTAAACAAATTTTAATGGCCATGACTGTTTGCTTCCCTGATAACATCTGTTTGAAGGGGCTCTTTAACTACTTTTTCTGCTTTTCTGCCCCCCCTCCCCCGGAAGGTTAACTTAGAAGCCAGATTCTGTTTTATCTGTTTACCCTGCAGATAGCCACTGAACCATTCTAGTAACCGTTGCAGTTAAGGCATAGTAAACATTGCACTTAATTAAAGTGGGAATGAGACCTGATTGCCCTGTCTACATTTTAGTCCATTCCAGCTGTAAAAACCCTGTCCTCAGTTCCTCCTCCTAGTCCTTGCAAGGTTTCCTCATAAACTCTGATAACTAACCCTTCTGCTGCATCTGCTCTGTGGTTTGGAAAGGGGCACGACCCGTATCTTTCTGCTCGGGGAAGCCCTCCATCTTGTCCTTCCAGGTGAAGTAACTTATTCCAGAGGACTCTAAGGAGTAGCAACAGGCTTTTCTCCGTTTCTTTCTTACTGTGATAAAATATATGTACATAAAATTTACTATCTTACTCATTTTTAAGTACATTCTCATTGTTGCAAAACCATTCCTACCAACCATCTCTAGAACTCAGCATCCCACACTGAAACTCTGTACCCATGGAACAATAACTCCCCGTGATCCCCTCCCCGCAGCTCCTGCTGGCCACCATTCTGTGTACTTTTCCTTTTAAGGTGGTGTATTTGTTAAAACCAACATAAGGTTACAGATCTTGAGATTTATATTTCTTTGCTATGATTCATATTCACTTTAGGTATTGACTTCCGCCTTTAGTTCTGCAGGCCACAGTGCTTATGTGCATTTTGCCAACCCGGTAGTAGAAGCACAGCCACCTTAGGCCCTGGTGCTTACTTACCTGCCTTGTTCCAAACAGAATATGCTGGTCTCCATGCATTCCATGAGAAAATTACCAGTAGCAATGTGTTGATGGTATGCGCCAGGGAAATCTTTGTAAGCCCAACTCCGAGCTATTTAAGTCCTTTTTAATATGTTTTTTCTTATTACAAAAGTAGGACATGTTCATTGCAGAAAATTAGGCAATACCAATAATCCATAAGAACTAAATGAAAATCTTGCTACCTAGAGCCAACCACTATTTACATATAAGAATCCAGTCAAACCAGACGTACAAAATGTCATTTCTGTAGGTCAACATTTTTGAATATCAGCAATTTCCTATAGTTTAACACATATACACACAATACACTCTTTTATTTTGTCACTTCTAACTTGAATTTTAGACACTGATCAAAATGTCTTCCCTCTAGAGCAGGGTCGGGCCTGGTTAGTACTTGGATGGGAGATAACTTTGATAGCATTGCCATTTTTTTAGTACCTTGTTCATGAAGAGGCATTGTCCTCATCACTGAACAATCGAGTTATTTTTAGCACATTGCCCCAGAGGAGTCTTAAAGTCTGGACTAGTGATAAATTTTGCTGATCTTCAAACTCTGAATACACTTCCAAGATGAGAGGATAATTCTGGAACACAGGATGGACACTGGGGCAGATAAGAACTGGAAGCGGCAGGAGGATGGGGGTGTGAGCATGGGCAGGGGTCAGCAGCTCTTCCCCATGTTACCTCGCCCCTAATTCTGCTCTGTGATATCAGCGCATATCATTACTCTTGATGTTGATTTAACTGTGGGATTGTCCATAGTTCATGAACAGAAATCGGAGTTATATGGTGGGAGGAGGTGACACGCTCTCCCAGTTTCTAGCTGTGGCACCTTGAGCAACACCCTTAAGCTCTCTTAGCCTGTTCCCTCATAGTAAAATGGGCCTAAGTGTCACCTGCCTTACTTACTCATAGGGTAATGAGTATTGAGAGGCATCGTTTGTGTGAAAGGAATTTGTCAACTGTAAAGAGCCATGCTTTGGTGTCCTCACACTGCATTTCCTATTTTATTACCTTAAAACACTACGATAAACACTATAATTACTTTTCTTTCTATACCTCAGGGGACTTTTACTTTTGAGATCATCTTTTTAGGTCATGACCACATGATCTCTTCATTTCTAATTTCTCTGTCTCTGATCTTGTATTCTCTTCTTTTTACCTGTCCTGGTTAATCTCACAGCTTGCACACACTCAGTCTGTTCTGTCCTCCTGCACCTAGCCACAGGACTGTACTTCTGGCCAAGTGACTCCCATTTACTGAGTTTTCAACCTTACTCTTCCTCGTTAGTTAATTACTTCATCTGTTAAATAAGGAAGTTGTTCTGAATCTTTACAGCTTTAACATTATTAGAAATGGTCAGATAATAAGCAGCTTAAATATCCAACGCTACATTATACTCATTTGATGGCCTATTATGGTAGTACTTAAAAAACTCTGTTCAGGAAGGATCTTTAATGTAGAAAATGCTGTGACAAGAGGACACAGTGTTGTACATACTATAAGATCGCAGCTATGTGTTTCAGTGTGTACAACATAGGACTGAAAGGAAATACTCCAAAATTTAAATAAAAAGTAACTACAAACAAGTGATTTCAATCCCTTAGTCTTCTTATTCAGTCTGGGTATCAGTTCCCTGGTTTTGTCCCGGACATTACGGAGTGTTGACTCTAGCACTGGGCACTGTGGGTGAGGGGGAGACGCAGGGTTGCGGCTAGTAAAGATGCAAGGCATCATGTAATCGGTACTAACGAGGCACAGACAAGTCTGTGCTTGTTGGAGAGTGCTCCACTGGCCAGGGAAGTTGGAATGTCTCCATCTCCTAGAAATGTGGTCAAATGTCATATTCATTTCCTGCCTGCACAGAAACTAGGTCTAGATTCCTTATAGACTCATTTGGGATAACTGAGAATTTCTGTTCTGTGTTTGAAGCAGCATAGAGTCCTGGGGGTCTAAGGCTAGGAAAATTAAGACTTCAGTTAAATCCCTGCTCCGTTGCTGATGTGATCTGTGGCCTTCAGCAATTTATTAATGCTTGATCCTTAGTTGCCTTTGGATTGTAGGTGGTGCCTTCTATATTGAATGCAAATTCATTAAAAGTTACGATGGTCTATTTAGATGCCATGTCTTTATAATTATTGCAGTGGATAGGATCAGAATTCCATATTTGTCCTGTGCACTGCCTGACAGAGGGGAGTCTGATTGGCGTCCATGATACTGAAGGCCTTTTAAGCCCCAAAAATGTTGAAATGTTGCCAGGGTGTGTGTTGAATGTGTGAGACTAGAGCATAGATCCTGAAGAAAAGCATGGCTTGGTCATTTGTTTTCAGGGAGGGAAGAGAGGTGTTAGGCATCTAAAACCTTGGGAAGGTCAACAGCTCTGAAATACATATGTCATTTAACCCAGCACTCTGTTTCTGGGAATTCATGCTGTAGGCACGCCCTCAGGTGTGTGGTACGTGCTGCAAGGTTATTGTTTCACTGTTTTTGGTAATAGGACATACTAGAAATAACCTAAGTGTCCATCAGGAAGGGGCAGGTTAAATTAGTTATACATCCATATCATGGACTACTTTAGAGCTATAAAGATGAATGAGGGGGCGCCTGGGTGGCTCAGTCGGTTAAATGGCTGCCTTCTGATCAGGTCATGATCCCAGGGTCCTGGGATGGAGCCCTGTGTCAGGCTCCCTACTCAGCAGGGAATCTGCTTCTCCCTCTCCCTCTGTCCTCCCCCCATCTCGTGTGCTGTCTCTCAAATAAAATCTTAAAAAAAAAAAAAAAAGGATGAATGAGGAAGCACTGAGCTTTAAGAGAATACACCTAAGTAGAAAATCAAAGTCTAGTATAGTACTAGAGTATGCTACCTTTAGTTTAAAAGGTGGGTGGGACAAATAAGATTTTATCTTTATTATTGCTTGTATAAGCATAAAGAAATTCTAGATAGCTCTAGGAGTGAATAGTAGTAGTGTTTACCTGAGGGTAGGATGAAAGTCTGGGGAATAGATGAGAGAGAAACTTTTAACTCTGTGTGTGTTTATTAATTTAAAATTTTTTTAAAAAAGATTTTATTTGAGAGAGAAAGAAAAAGAGAGCGCGTGCACACATGAGCAGGGGGAGAAGCAGAGGAGGAGGGAGAGAGAATCTGAAGCAGATTCTGTGCTGAGTGTGGAGCCCGACTCGGGGCTTGATCCCAGGACCCTGAGATCATGACATGAGCAGAGAAACCAGGCGTCGGACGCTTAACTGAGCTACCCAGGGCCCCCAATTTTTTAAAATTTTTGAACCATGTAAATAAATTACTTGGCAATTTAAATTTCAAGGTTTTTTAAAATAGAAACTACCTTTGTGATCAGAAGGCAGGCGAGATTGCAGAAGGCACATTGAGTAGTTCATAATTATCCGTGGGAATTTATTTGAATAGGTAACAAAACCCTTTGTTTCTTTTAGGCTTATGGTCAAGGTTTAAAAAGAGATGTTTTAAGCTCATCAGGAAGATGCCTATTATTGGTCGCAAGGTAAGTGGAATCTGTGTATAACTTCCAGCCCTCCCGTCACACCCATGGTCATGATCTCTTTCTTTCTATTTACTGAACCTAGTGCAAATTCCCAAGGACGAGGGGTGATTTTTGTACCCCCCCCCAAGGAACATCTGACAATGTTTGAGGACACCTTTGGTTGTCATAACTAGAGGGGGGTGCTCTTGGCATTTAGTGGATCACGGCCAGAGGTGCTGCTAAGCATCCTGCAGGGCCAGTAGAGAATTATCTGGCTCAAGATGTCAAAGTGTCAAGATTAAGAAACCTCACTTAACCCTTTCTCCAACATATTTGCCCAAAAGAGACAGGTGACGTCTGTTAAAGGCAGAATTTGCAATTAGAAAAGCTGGCTGAAGTGGCATGATGCTTTAGAGCAATATTCGGCTGCTCTGACTTGAGATACGTGTCTGGGGGTCGGGTGCTTACATGGTTAGGTCAGGGTTGACAGACTTTCTCTGTGAAGGGCCAGATAGGAAACATTCTAGGCTTTGCAGGCCATACCATGTCTGTCAGGGCGATAGAGAGGTAGAAGGATGAGCCTGGCTGTGTTCCACTGAAACTTGCTTTACAGAACGGCCAGGGGCCAGATCTCGGCTGTAGTTGGCGGATCCCAGGTTTAGAGAAACTTGGAGAGCCCTGATCTCTTGCTCTTTGTACCTGTCTGCAGCATAGTATGTTCCCTTCACTGTGTCCTCTGTCCCCTCACCCACGCTGAGGATAGGACAGTCACCTCTGTACCCTTCCCACCGGCTCTTTATCACAGAAGGAGATAAATAAGGCAGGCCCCATGCAAGTTGCAAGGAGGGCACACTGGCCCTGATGTCTTCGGCTCCCCCCATTCCCTGCCTGCCCCTCAGCTTTCCTTCAAGCTTGCTTTCACTTTTGGCTTTCAATTCCCTTTCCCTTTTCCCCTTTCCTGGCCAAGCCAGAAGAGATGTTAGTCATCCTTGGCCTTTGACCAAAATCCATTCAGACCCCTGGGCTAACTCTCCCATAACTGTGTATTTATTTTCAGGTTCATTTCCTATAGGGAAGCAGAAGTAGTTACTGGGGTGGAAAAGGGGAATGGGAGTAGATAGGCTTTTATTTGACCTTAAATCATCTTAAGCCCTAAAATGAGATCTCCCTGAGTCGATCTAGAGTTAAGGGGTAGGGAGAGGGCGGCTATAGAGGGTGGACTGGATCTCAAAGGATACTAGCATTTCTCCTTTTCATTCCCTGTATTTTTCTGCTCTTTTTCTTCACACATTTCTCCTTCGGTGTCAGATTTTGGGACAAATAAGTGCTAGGGTTCCAGAACCCTGAAATTTACAAATTTACTGAAATTTATAAAATAACAGATTTGGAAGGCACTTAGAAACTCTGTAATCACCTGTCATTTTTTAGAAGCAGATTTTGAGGCTCAGAGACAAGAGTTCTCTGTTTCGAGCGAGTGTGTGTGTGCCCCTGTCTCATTCATCCCTTACATTCACTTACTCAGCACACGGTTCGTGGGCACGCGCTCAGCGTCAGGTACTGCTCAGGGTGCTGGGGACCGAATCCCTGCTCTGCGCAGCTTACATTTTCCTAGGAACAACAGAAAATAGATACATGAACAAACACATAAGAATTTCATTTTGAAATAAACGCTGTGAAGGAATTAAAATGTGATAGAGGCCCTGAGGCAGGCACTGGGGGGAAGGTACTTGTGTGCCTTCTAATGCGACTCACCATCATTTTGTGGCTCTTCTGTTTTATTATAGCAGCAGTGTAGGCGCGGAAGCTTGGCTTCCATGGTTTGTCCCTCTTGTGTGCTCGCCATTTAGGCAGCATAGTCCACGTACAACTTTAAAAACACTCTCCTGCCCATCACATACCTCCCACGGCCGCGGGGTGGGCCTCGGCTGCCTGCCGGAGCCTGCGACACTTGTGGGCGTGGTTCGCGGGCGCGCCTTGCCCTGCGGTTTCGCTGGGGGCCACATCTAGCAGGCTCCTCTCGTGTTCTAATCCTCTAGGGCTAGAGATGGGAAGGTCGAAATGTTTGGGGTCAGATCGGGGGCCTCAGACCTTCACAAATGGGTCGCTGAAACCGTCTCGCTGTAACGCCACTCTTCCAAACTACCCCCAACAGTCCCTTAGTGCAGATAGCGGTCCCTGCTGGGTTTTGTTGTGTTTTTAAATTCTGTTCTGTTCCCCCCAGCACTTTCCACTACCTTTCATTTTCTGTGTCTGCTAGTACAAGGAAGCATCGTGAGAACAGAAGTTGTTCTCACTCGTACTGCCTAGTGTGTTCCGTTCGCTGTGTCTTGCCGGCCCACAGGGGTAGTTGGGCACCTAGGGAGGGAGGGAAAGCACAGGCTGTTGCGGTGAGGAGGCGGACGAAGGAGAAACAGCCATCGTTGATAAACTGTACAGAAGGGGCCGTCGCTCCCCCCTAGCACTTAAGGGTCAAAGAGTAGAGGCGGCAGACAGCCCGAGGAGATCAAATGCGGTCTCCCCGGTACCCCCGGGGTGTCTTACACATGCATGTGGCGACTTGCGCAGGCTGTCCGCATTCTGGGCGTGCTCTGTGCATGTCTGGTGACGGACTCATCACCTGCACGAGCACCAGAATGCTTCTGCTGCTGCTTGGCCTGTTTTCTGGCCACCGTTCGTGGCTCCACCTTTGTTTCTTTAGCACACACACTGGCTGCTTGCCAGGACACGGATAACATCCACATACTGCGCTCAGACAGTGGCACGTGCAAACCCAGTAAAGCAGGGGCGATGTCGGCATGGCAGAGGAAAGGGGTGGGGGGGGTTGAATGTATCTTCGACTTTTGGACAGAAAGTTGACTTTTCAGGCTTCTAAGAGCCTGCCGCACATGCCAGAAAATAGCTGAGCAGCCAGAATGTCCCCATATCTGTTTACAAAAACAATACCACCCCCGTTCTGTAGCACTGGTGTGGCGCCCAGCCCTCAGCCGTTGACTCGGAGTCGTAACTGGTTCTTCTGCTCCCTGGCCTGTATTTTTCCATCTCCTTGTTAACTTTGTCTTTCTTACCTTTGGAGATCCAAGAGAAGGTGAACAAGACCAAGGATGATATAAGCAAGAACATGTCATTCCTGAAAGTGGACAAAGAGTATGTGAAAGCTTTGCCCTCTCAGGGCCTGAGCGCGTCGGCAGTTCTGGAGAAGCTCAAGGACTACAGCTCTATGGGTAGGATTCTGGGCGCCTCAAGCTGCTTGCTTTCCCAACGTGGCCGGTTTGGTCATTGTTCACTGTCGATAGGTTACGAGTGCTTCATCCCTGGAACTTATATATCCATCCTGTCTCAGAGGCTCAATTTCTTATCATAAAAATTATATTTAAATTCATCCTCCATCCATAAAGCAAACAAATCTCAGAGACAGTGGAACTGGAACTTGGTCCCATTTCCTTTTGTAAGCCTGAATAAAACAGATACGTTTGTTTCTTAAGGAGAGAATATATGTAATAAGAATGAAATACAGATTCATTACAGAATTTGTAAAATCTGCACAAAGGCACAAAAGAAAATCCCATCATCACAAGATAAACACAGATGATATATATATGTAAGAATCTTAATAGTGTTTTTGTGTAATAAACATACATACACATACAGATATGTATATATGCATGAGTACATAAGGGAAGGATAAATATACCAAGTAGCTTAATGTTTAAGAGTGTAGCCTGGCTGAGAGGAGCGCGTGACTCTTGATCTCAGGGTTGTGAATTCGAGCCCCACGTTGAGTATGGAGATTACTTAAAAATAAATAAAAAAATCTTTAAAAAAGAGTGTAGCCCATGGAATCAGCGTGGATTCACATGCTAGTTGGGCCACTTAAAGTGTGACCTTGGGGGAATTACTTAATCTATGTCTTGGTCTCTGTCTTTCTACGATGGGGATAATAAAACTTACTTGAAAAGATGATTACAGGGGCACCTGGGTGGCTCAGTTGTTAAGTGTCTGCCTTTGGCTCAGGTCATGATCCTAGGGTCCTGGGATCGAGCCCCGCATCAGGCTCCCTGCTCAGTGGGAAGCCTGCTTCTCCCTCTCCCACTCCTGCTGCTTGTGTTCCCTCTCTCGCTGTGTCTCTCTGTCAAATAAATAAATAAAATCTTAAAAAAAAATAAAGAAAAGATAATTACAGAGATTAAATAAGATCGTACATATAAATGTATAATACCTGGCATATAGTAAGTGCTCAATAAATGTTGACTATTTTTTTTTTTAAGGATTTTATTTATTTGAGAGAGAGAGAGATAGTGAGAGATAGAGCACTAGCAGGGGGGAGAGGGAGAAGCAGGCTCCCCACTGAGCAGGGAGCTTGATGTGGGGCTTGATCCCAGGACCCTGGGATCATGACCTGAGCCGAAGGAAGACACTTAACTGGCTAAGCCACCCGGGCACCCCATAAATGTTGGCTGTTAACACAAACACAGGTTTATTATAGATTAGACCATATTGCAAATACTTTTAGAAAATAGGCTTTTTAGTTTGTCATAATTTAAGATTTGTAGAGAATTTGCAAATTCATACATACAGAGATTTCCCATACAACCCTTACCTGGCTTCTCCTGATGTTAACATCTGAAGTGACTGTGATGCATTTGTTGAAACAGCAGTTGACTAAACTGCAAATTCTATTCCTGTTTCACCAGTTTTTCCACTAATGTCCTTTTTTCTGTTCTAGGCTCCAATCCAGGATACCACATTGCATTTCAACAAATACACTTAAAAATTTCTAATTGATGTGTGTTAAGATTTTGATATTGGATGGTACAAAATTAGCTGCAGTCCAGGATTTATAGATGATGTAAAGCAGGGATCAGCCCTCTGAGACCTGGATGTTAAAGATTTCTATGATCGCGAGGGCACGTTGCTGCCGCCATATTGCCTTCCCTTCCTTTTCTAAGTCATTTTCGATAGCACCAGTAAAATAACAGGAAATGAAGCCATGTATTCTATTTTTGAAAGGCTGGTGGCCTCTGGTCTGAAGACATGCATGGTAGAGTCCAATGTCCTGTAAGGAAAGAGGGAAAGTCCTATTGGAATCAAGCCAGAGCGTGGCAGATTGCCTGAGGATGGGGGGGGGTCTGTCTGGATGTTTGCCACTCAATCTTCTGCTCTCTTGTTAGAGCTGAAGATCATGGCTTTGTAGAGCCTGTGGTGACAGTTTTCAGTTAGTGTGTCTCTGTAGTAGCTTTGTCACTGCGCACTCTCAGTAGGGCGCAGTCATGTTGTATCTGAGATACCCACATCAGCAGATTCATTGATACAACGTAGACTGTCTTTGGAGAAGCACTCAGACAGGAAGTGGAATTGTGGGTAGGTTTCGGGCTTGTGTGAGGGGCTTGCTGCTGAGACCAGGGTGCTGACAGTCTACTCATCATTGTGGTTTGTCTGGTCAGGTATTCAGTTCCCTGGCTCCAGCTCTTGACAATAGCGTACTGAAATTCCACACTTGGCCTTGCTCTTCCCTGCCAACTCTGCTCATAACAGTTCTCATACTTCCTTTGACTGGATAGGAAGGGGAGAAAAAAGTCGTTAGCCATACAGAGACCAGGAAATGAGTATAGATCAAGGAACAACTTTCTACTGGTAGAAGGCCATTGGGGATGATGACAGCATCATTATTGGACTAGATTATACCTGGATGCTGTTGATATCTTTTTCACACTGTTGTTGATAGTAATGGAAGATCTTTTGTCTTTATTTTGCTATGATAGGTCTTTTTTGGAATTCTTTTTCTTGATTTAATATAAGATCACCTCCGGGTTTCCACTCAAAGTTTTTTTTTCTTTTGTACCCAGAGGTGTTGCTTCGTATTTTGGGGAAGTGCCTGCTTACTGACCCAGTGGTCTTAACTTTCTCTACAGACGTCTTCTGGCAGGAGGGGAAAGCCTCTGGAGCAGTGTACAGCGGGGCGGAAGAGCTCACCCAGCTCCTGGTGAAGGTGAATGCCAGCACCCCAAGGCAGTGTGTGTGGTCTGTGCCCTTCATACCATCTCAGTTTTTCTCCTTACTTTTGCAATTAAAAAAAAAAAATTACTTAACGATGAATATGGATAATATTGTCAGAGATGTCTTCAGTCCATAAAAAAGTACAATATTACTTACATTTCCAGGCTTTATAGGTGCCCCGTGTGGAAGGCAGATTACTAGGGAAGGTAGTCAGTCCCCCATCATTTGAGTTTATTAATGACAAGACATACTTTGTTTGATGAGAAGAGAGGAGGGATAGACCCCTGGGTGGCTCATTCGGTTGAGTGTCCGACTCTTGATCTCAGCTCAAGTCTTGATCTCAGGGTTGTGAGTTTGAGCCCTTTGTTGGGCTCCTTGCTGGGCGTGGAGCCTACTTAAAAGAAGAGAGGAGGAATAGACACTTGCTCATCATTTCCTGTACCACCCGAGTCTCAGATCAAAGGATCTAAGAATGAGCAGTAGGTTCACTTATAATTGAAATAATTCTCATTTTTTGTTGACTTTAGAGTTGCCTATAGCTAATCAGATTTATTTCCTAAACCCCACTTTATCATATAAAATTGGCATTGGACTTAACAATCTCTAAGGTCTTTGTGTTTGATTATGAAAGCTATGAAACTGCTCCTACCTTACTAAATACTACAGGTTTGGCTTAGCTATATCTTGACATAATGCTCTGATCTTACTTTGCTGGCTTAAAAATCTTTCAGTGGCTTCCCACTATCTACGGGATAAAACCCAAGCAGGAAATGCAAGCCCACAGGCGCCTGGGTGGCTCAGTCGGTTAAGCGACTGCCTTTGGCTCAGGTCATGATCCCGGAGTCCTGGGATCAAGTTCCACGTCGGGCTCCCGGTTCAGCGGCGAGCCTGCTTCTCTCTCTGACCCTCTCCCCTCTCATGCTGTTTCTCTCTCTGTCTCTCTCTCTCTCTCTCTCTCAAATAAATAAATAAATAAATAAGATCTTTAAAAAAAAGAAAATGCAAGCCCTGTGGTGAGCCGGCTCCCACCTGTGTTTTTCAACCACCTCTGTTACTTTCCCACGTAAACACGAACTTCCGTCTTTCCTCTTCACTGAGTGTACCTCGCTCTTACCGTGTTTTCCTCCCCTCCTTCATTCCACCTGTTCTAAATGTCGAATTCCTATTGATCTCTCAAGGTTCTGCCTGTACAGACCCCTCAGACCTGTCGGGCTGTTTGTTAGTCCCTCCTTAGGGCTCCTTCCATCACTTGCATACTTCTGGTATCACACTTAGAACAATAGCTCCTTTGTGCCGGATGCTCTCCTAAGGATTTGGTGTGCCTTATGTTATTTACTTAGCGCTAGAACCCTATCAGGTAGGTACCATGGTTATCCCCTTGAGCACATGAGGACACTGAACCTCAGAGAGGTTTTTTGACCTGAGATTACAGAGCGAGAAGTAATAGGCAAAGCCAGGATTGCAAACTGGGTCTGTTTGTTGGTTTAGTATGTGCTTTTTAACCACATTTATACTTCCTCTCTCGCCACACTGTAAAATAAGTTATTTGCATGTCTCTCTCTTCCACTGTATTTTGATCTTCTTTAAAGGAGAACACATACCTTACCATTTTTCCAGTTTCTAGTGTTGTGCTTGGTACCTAGAAACTTCTGTCTAGTGCATGATTCTTTGTCCCATACCGTGCATTTATTCGTCCTACTTCATATCTGCGTGCATTTCTTTGCAGGCTTACGGAGATTTTGCATGGAGTAACCCGCTGCATCCCGACATCTTCCCGGGACTGCGAAAGATCGAGGCAGAGATTGTGAGGATAGCTTGTTCCCTGTTCAGCGGGGGGCCGGATTCCTGTGGCTGTGTAAGTACATGCAGGTGGCCTCCGATAATCTTCGTGGTTAGCTTAAAATAGAAGAGTTTCTTGAAAACATTTTGTTACACAAGTAATATGTGATTATTGGCAGGAAGATCCAGATTAACAGCAATATAAAAGTGTTAACTTTTGGCATTTTTAGAGCATCAACATTTTATGGTATATTTAAAAAAATTTTTTTTTTCCTTAGTTTTGCATTTTGAAACATTTTAAACGTGAAGTTGCTAGAATAGACAAAACCCTGGATTCAGTAACTACATATTTTGCACATCTGCTGTGTCTGCTCCTTTCTTTCTCCTCCTCCCTCTTTGATCCATGCAGTACACTTACAGTACGTAGGTATTCTCCTGCACCATAGACTCTGTGAACTTTTAAGAGACCATCAGTTAAGCAGCCCCAAAACCATTTGGCCTCATCTAGGTAAGTTGAAGAAACGGGTATCTCATGACCCTGAAATTTCACTACTCAGCGTACACCCTAGAAAAACTGGCACGTGTGTATCAGGATAGATGGATAGTCATAGCAGCATTGTCCATGATGTTGAAAACTGGAAGTAATCCAAATGCCAGTCAACAGTGGGGTGGAAAATTACAGACTACTCCATGTGCTTCAACCCACTGCAGCTGCTACTCTGATTAATGCTCAAATTAGCCCGTTTGACCAGTGGGAGCCTCTTAATTTTGGCCTCTGGGTTCTTTTGTATGACTCAAGTGGTCTTTGAAAGCTTCCTTTCTTTCCTTTTTTTTGACAAAATATTTTTATTTGATGAAATATTCCAGGTTTACCTTATGCATTTCCAGACCCCAACTCAGCCATTTGTCCAAAGAGCCCTGTTTCATTTAGAACGATGTAAAATACTTAATGGCTCCGAAGTCCAATTTATAGAATAAGACTTATACAAAATTAACCGGAATAACATCCAGAGAGTTAGCACAGAAGAGGTTGAGTGAGACGGCCTGGAGTGAGAAGGGCTACCACACATCTGGTTGGTGTGTAATTAGCTGTTAAAACAGCTGGCGTTCTCAGCAGCAGTGGCAGCCGGGGTGTTTGCAGGTGGAGGAAAGACGGGCTGTGAGGTGCTCATTGTTGGAGCTGGAAGATGAGTAGAGGGGTTTTGTGGGTTCCCTCTTCAGCCGTGCCTCTTCTGCACTTGAGTTCCTCCATTGGCTTTTTTTTTTTTAAGATTTTATTTATTTATTTATTTTATTTATTTGGCAGACAGCAGGAGAGCGGCAGAGGGAGAGGGAGAAACAGGCCCCCTGTTGAGCAGGGAGCCCGATGCGGGGCTCGATGCCAGGACCCTGGGATCATGACCTGAGCCAAAGGCGGTCGCTTAACCAACTGAGCCACCCAGGAGGCCCCCATTGTCTTTTTTTTTTTTTAACTTCATTTACTATAGTCTGCATTTTCGAGAATTTTGTCTTAATTTGCCTGGTGGTTTTTTTTTTTTTTTTAGGTTTTTGCTCGAGTTGTTTTTTTATTTATTATTATTATTATTTAAGTAAGTGTTACACCTAAAATGGGGCTCAAACTCAAGACCCCGAGGTCGAGTGTTGCATGCTCTGCCAACTGAGCCAGCCAGGCGCCCCTGCATGGTGGTTCTTTAGCATTCCTTTCCTTGGCTTATGTTTTGTTTATTTAAATATATTGCCTGTAATTATTTTATATTTTGTGTCGGATAATTCTGTTACTCACAAGCCTTACCTATCTGTTTCTGCTGGTTTCATTCATATTGGCTTGTATCCTTATATTTGTGACTTTTTTTTGTTTTTTTTTTTTTGCATCTTCCTGGGAACTTCTCTGAGGCCTAGACTGAAGTGAAGTTCTTGCAGGAAAGTTACGTAATGACTTCTGCCGGTTGCCGGGGCCTTGCTGGGAGGTGCTGTCACACGGGAACCCATCTGAGTCTGATGCTCAGAGGGCGCATGAGTTCACACTGCAGACCCACATCAAAGCCGTCTTGTGAGCCATTCTTGAGAGATCCTTATTTTTCTTTACCAGAGCATCAGGTCAGGGTTGAGAAAGCCATTTTTCTTGCTGTCCTCTTCTGCACCAGTGGGGTTTGATTTCTTGTTCCCCTGAGATGTGGGTGTAAGTCCCAGGTTCTCCAGCTGTCTCCTGTTAGACTCTTTACCTTAGGCGGGCCCTCAGTTTACCTCCTGTTTGTTTGTCACGGTGGGGGTTGGTGGTCTCTGGGGGTGGCAGCAACCCTCAAAGTTGAAACCAGCTTTGGCACTCACTTATCTGCTAGGATTCTTGGTTTTGCTGTGTTTGGGTTCAGTATATTAGTATATTCCTTTATGTTATATAAGCTCAGTGGTGGCTGTAAAATAAATTTTAATGTTTTATGAGGCTTTTTAGTTGTTTCCCATGGGAGGGTGGGCTGCCCAAGCTGTCTAATCTATATTGCCAGAAACAGGAGTTCCATGATTGTTGTTGTTTTTCTCCATGTGAACTTTGTACACTTTACAGCGTCTCTCCCTCTGGATCTGCTCTTCCCCACTTTCTTCCAAGGCTACTCAGCTAGTCTTAGAGAATACGGTTTCACAGATTGGCGACCATGCCCATGTTTCTTCTCTGAACACCTTTTGGTTATCTGTGTCTAGCCAGAGGGACACAGGTGTAGAGAGGCAGTGATCTTTCAGTCTCTGTTTTTTTTTTAATGTGGGTTCACTAAACTTGCCTTAAACCTTTCCTCTAGATCCTGGTCTTTATTCTCGGCCGTGTTTATTCTGTCCCTCGTGGCCTTACTAATCCTGTATCGGGGTCATTTGGTACTCTGTGTTTTAGGTCTGCAGTCTCGTTCTCCTGTTTTGGTGTCCAGTCTTTCAGCTCTTGTTTTCTTCAATTCGTGTTCTTGTCATGTTGTGCCCTAGTGATGACAGTCCCCCTTAGACTGTCACCTTTTGAGTTAGGCTTTTATTTTGCATGCTGCTTTTTTTCTTTCATTCTGTGTGTTTGCGTAGTTACCATGCCATTTTCTTTCACCGTGGCTCATGCTCATCAGAACATTCTATTTTGTTCTGATGCATGCTGGCTGATTTCTCATCTGGGAGCATTTGCTTGAGGGCTTCTTGGTTCCACCTGTGTTAGGATATCTGGGTCTCTTCTTCTGAGATTTGTTAAAAGTTACCTATTAGAGTTTACTCTGCCTAGTTGGAAGACAGTAAGACCCTCTGGGCTTTGATTATTTCTTTAACCCATCCTGGATCCCTGAAGCCTTGACTTTGAGGGGTCGGTCCCAGTGTTCTCTCTCCCCATTTTCCTGTTTCTCCCTTGCTGCCATGTCTACCACTCACTGAGCGGAAGATAAGGAGCCCCCCTCCATTTGCTTCTCTGAAGATTTGGCGGGTATTAATGAGAATCCTCAGGATTTTGCTGGCTGGCTGGACAATTTTCAGGACTTGGAGGAGGGATTAGGGACTGCGTTTTGCTTTTTTCTGTGCTTTAGTAACTTGTCTCTTTTTTTCATTGCCAGTATTTGAAGTTTATTGCATTGGATTCTCTGTTTCCTTGTTTGATGTTGGTTATTGCAGCTTTTTGCAATTGTGTTGCTTCCTTCTTTTAGTTACCAGAGGAGAGAAAGCAGCTGTGAGGTAGGTTCAGTGTTCCAACTGAGAGAAAGCAGCTGTGAGGTAGGTTCAGTGTTCCATCTGAATGCCGAAGTCCAACCCCAGGGGTATTTTTGCATTGCTACAGTGTCCGGAATCGGGAGAAGGATGGAGACTGAGATCCCTAGGCTTTTCTAATATTTAAGACTTTGACAAGAGAACTAATGGTGACCTGTGGGGTAATTTGAGTTTCTCTGTCTCTCTTACTCTTCTCAGTCTCTGTCTCTCTCCATCTCTCTCTCTCTCTCTCTCTCTCTCAATGAGCTGCTTTTGGTGAAAAAAGTTCAGAGGTCAGAGGTTGGAAATGAGAAGACAGAGCTGCATGGCTGGGCAGTCTGTAGCATACTCCCAGCCAAGGTCTTAAGCTCTTCTTGTTCTTTGTTCTTCAATCTAAACTATCTTTCCTGTTACTAACTTCATTTGCCTCAGTTAGAATGGATGAGAAGTGATTTCATATACTGAAAGAACTTTTGTTGCCCTGGGGAACAGTCTTGGCTTGTGCAAAGGCCTCTGGGTCCAACAGCATCTGAAAGAAAATTCTCGCAACAGGCCGTGTTCTCTTCTTATTCTCTGACATACTTCTCGTATATTACAGCGAGTTTTTATAAATGTCAGAAGAAGCTAACATTACAAGTAGTTATTGAAGCTTTCATCTTCTGATTTCACAACTTCTATTTTTCTTTGGGCGCAGAGGGTAGAAGGTAATGGGAGGTTAGTAGCATGTTTAGACACAGAATTTGGGGATCAGAAATAAAAATTAGAAGTAGAATTTAGGTATTCCTGCTTTTACAGTCCAAAGTACACTGCTGTTTGCCCAACAAATAATGATGTTGATTTGATTAGTTATTGGACTAAAAATAGAGCGTGTGTGCTGGGTGACTAGGGGTTTGGAAATCCTTTTGCTTAGGTCATTACTGGACCTTAGTAAGAGGCTGACACACTGGAGACTTGGACGTTGCTGGTCCTTTCCTGACTTGCTTCATAGCTTGTTTGGCTCCTCATGTGACAGCCTGAGGTTCTGTGCTAGACCACAGGGTGAGCCGCTGATTCACAGAGCTGACCTCCACTATAAGCGTTTTCATCTTTGGCAGAAAAGTGCAGAGGCTACAAACAGGCGGGCGTCCTCTGCCCAAGTTCAGCCCATTACTTCGTGGGTGATGGGCACGTGTTTCTTGAAGACTTCCTGAATCGCAGTATGACTAACTTCTCTCAGCTAATCTTCCGTGTAACTCCTGACCACTGGGGTTTTGTAGCAATGGTGTTTTTGTCCTCTTTTTGGGTATTACAGGAAATTTCCAGAAATCCCTCTCTCTCATTCCATTTCATGTTAACTCCACCAAATGCACAAGTGTAGAAAGTTTTCCTTTTTTTTCTCTTTTCTCTTTTTTAGTTTAAATTCAATTAATTAACATACAATGTATTATTTCTTTCAGGGGTACACGTCTCTGGTTCATCCATCTTATATAGTACCCAGTGCTCATTATGACACATAATCTCCCCAATGTCCATCACCCAGTTACCCCATCCCTCCACCGCCCTCCCCTCCAACAACCCTCAGTTTGTTTCGGATGATTAAGACTTGTCTCTTATGGGGGGTGCCTGAGTGGCTCAGTCGTTAAGCGTCTGCCTTCGGCTCAGGTCATGATCCCGGGGTCCTGGGATCGAGCCCCACATCGGGCTCCCTGCTCAGCGGGGAGCCTGCTTCTCCCTCTCCCACTCCCCCTGCTTGTGTTCCCTCTCTCGCTGTATCTCTCTCTGTCAAATAAATAAATAAATAAAAAATCTTTAAAAAAAAAAAGAGTCTCTTATGGTTTGTCTCCCTCTCTGGTTTCATCTTGTTTCATTTTTTCCTCTCTTCCCCTATGATCCTCTGCCTTGTTTATTAAATTCCACATATCAATGAGATCATATGATAATTGTCTTTCTCTGATTGACTTATTTTGCTTAGCATGATACCCTCTAGTTCCATCCACGTCGTTGCATATGGCAAGATTTCGATTTTTGATGGCTGTGTAATATTCCATTGTATTTATATATACCACATCTTCTTTATCCGTTTGTCTGTTGATGGACATCTAGGCTCTTTCCATAGTTTGGTTATTGTGGACGTTGCTGCTATAAACATTGGGGTACAGGTGCCCTTTGGATCACTACATTTGTATCTTTGGGGTAAATACCTAGTAGTGCAATTGTTGGATCATAGGGTAACTCTATTTTCAACTTTTTGAGGAATGTCCATACTGTTTTCCAGAGTGGCTGCACCAGCTTGCATTCCCACCAACAGTGTGGGAGGGTTTTTTTCTTTTTCTGCATCCTCGCCAACATCTGTAGTTTCCTGACTAGTTAATTTTAGCCATTGTAACCCATGTGAGGTGGTATCTCATTGTGGTTTTGATTTGTATTTCCCTGATGCCAAGTGATGTTGAGCATTTTTTCATGTGTCTGTTGGTCATTTGGATGTCTTCTTTGGAGTAATGGCTGTTCATGTCGTCTGCTCATTTCTTGATTGGATTATTTGTTCTTTGGGTGTTGAGTTTGGTAAGTTCTTTATAGGTTTTGGGTACTAGCCCTTTATCTGATATGTCATTTGCAAATATCTTCTCCCATTCTGTCGGTTGTCTTTGGGTTTTCTTGACCGTTTCTTTGCTGTGCAAAAGTACACTGCTGTTTGCCCAACAAATAATGAT